GAGGCGGGGCTGGGGTGGGGATTTGGGGAAGGGATCCAATAGGGGCAGGGAGGAGGTGGATTGGGGTGGGACTTTGGGGAAGGGGTTAGAAAGGGGGCAGAAAAAGGGTGGAGTCAGGGAGGGGCCGGGGCGGGCGGGGCGGCAATTATTTCAGGGCCTGGGGCGGCAAAATCATTAATCCATCACTGAATGCAGGGCACGCCCGCCCCCTGCTGGGACCTAGCTCAGGGGATGGGGTGGAGTGGGAGCAGGTCTGGGGCAGAGCAGTGGTGGGAAGAGGCGGGGAGGGGGCGGGGCAGGGGCAGTTTTCCTGGCCCGCTCATCCGGCTGGGGGTTCGGGCTGGCCGCTGGAGCAGCATGCAGCTGCATAGGCCACCAGGAAATTTGGGGCAATTTGGTGCCCTACGCAGCTGCATGGTTTGCGTATGAGTAAGGATGGCCCTGGAAAGATAGCACCCCTTAGCAACCCAATGAGACACTGCTTCAGCAACGATTCACAGGAAAGACTGCTTACGCGCTCAATGACCAACATCACTGCTTTCTGCACTTTGGATGTGTCTCTTCCAAATACCAAGCTTTCCTAACACTAGTTGGTGTCTAAAGCTGATGGAACCAGAGCACACAATGATTTAGCTACAGGCAAAAGACAGGATCATAGAGTTTAAGGCTAGATAATCTAACCTTCTGTATATCACAGGCCACCAGCACACCTGCACACTAAACCCAACACTGAAATTAGACCAAAGTATTACAGCCCACAGGAGACTAGGCTGTTATGTGTTCCACACAGAGAATAGGAGGGACCAAGGTGCACCAGTGCCCAAGGCCTCCTCATTGGAGATTAAGTGAGATATACCCAGATAATCCTGGCAAGTGATCTGCACCCACCTGCTGCTGAGGAAGGCGAAAACCCTCAAGGTCACTGGGGGTTTTCCTTCCCAACCCCACGTAGGGCAATCATAGGCCACATAGGGCAACAGTTATACTCCGAGCATGTGAGCAAGAAACACTAGCCATTGAGAGAGAGACTGCTCCATGCCAACTCAGAGCTCTGGCCCTCCTTGTTCAATTAGTTGTGGCTGTCCCTGATGCTTCAGAGGAAGGAGTTTAAAAAGACCAAACAGAATACATTGGGGAGAAAAGACCCCTTCCTAGCTTCCACAGGTGGTCAACTGAAACATGAGCTTTTAGGAACTTAAGACATAAATCAGAAGTAAACCCCAGGGCTGATGAGCCCTGCCCCCCACCATCACAAGGAACCCTGTCCTACAATCACACTCATAAATTTGTTTCAGCTCCCTCTTAAAACAAACAAAGTTGTTTGCTACCACAATTCCTATTGGGGGGGTTTCCAGAACCTCTCCCCTCTGATGGGTAGAAACTCTTCTAATTTCCAGCCGGAATTTGTTCATGGACAGTTTGTATCCATTTGTTCTTCTGCCTGCATTGCCTTTAACTTAACTAGCTCTTCACCTTCCCTGGTATTTACTCTTGATGTATTTATAGAGAGCAATCATATCCTCTCTCAGCCTTCTAGACTAAACAAGCTAAGCTCTTCCAGTCTTCTCTCATAAGATAGGATGTCCGTTCCCCTGATCATTCTAGTAGCTCTTCTCTGCACCTATTCTAGTTTAAATTAACCTTTCTTGACCATGGGTGATCAGAATTGTACACAAGTATCAGAGGGGTAGCCATATTAGTCTGAATCTGTAAAAAGCAACAAAGAGTCCTGTGGCACCTTATAGACTAACAAATATATTGGAGCATAAGCTTTCGTGGGTGAATATGAAGTGGGTATTCACCCACGAAAGCTTATGCTCCAATACATTTGTTAGTCTATAAGGTGCCACAGGACTCTCTGTTGCTTTTTACAGAATTGTACACAGTATTCCAAATGAGGTTTCACCAGTGCTTTGTGCAGTGGCATTAATACTTATCTATCTCTACTGGAAATGCCTCAGCCCTACATCCTAGGATTGCATTTGCCTTTTTCACAGCCAAATCACGTCGGTGACTCAGTCATCCTGTGATTGACTCATACACCCAGGTCTCCCTTGTCCTCTGTTGCTTCCAACTGATGAGCCCCCAACTTGTAGCAGAAATTCATAGTGTTAGTCCCCAAGTGCGTGACTTTGCACTATTGAATTCCATCCTATTTCTGTCACTCCAGTCTTCAAAGTCATCCGGATCTTCTTGTTTAATATTCTGAGCCTCCTCTGTATTGACAATGCCTCCCAACTTTGTATCATCAGCAGATTTCATTAGCACACTCCTACTTTTTGTGCCAAGGTCATTAATAAAAGATTAGTCTCAAGACCAATCCTTGAGGAACCCTACTAGTGACCTCCATCCAATCGGATAATTCACCTTTCATCACAACCCATTGCCTTCTCTCCCGGACTCCAGAATCCGCAGGAGCAACTTTGAGACACACTTTCTTGTGCCTCTTCCCTTTCCAGATGTTTTAGGGACAGGCTTTCCTTTATGTAAAATGAAAATATACATGGCAGCATATTGGGGGGAGGGGGATCCCCTCCTCTACTGGATGGAAACAGAACTGTTCAGCCCTCTGTGATAGAAACTATTCTGCTGACAAATAATTGAGGTTCTTTCAGGTCAGGTGATTGGGGCTTGTGCTTACAGAGCAGGAAGCTGTGAGTTCTATCCCTACAGTCACCATCAAGTGCTGAATGATTCTGCTGTGCAGTAAAACTATAACCCTGACAGATTTGTTACAATATTCCTTTAAAATTGTGTGTATGTTGGGGGTGGGGGTGTTCCACTTTAATGTTATATTCAAAATTTTTCGACCCTTTTCATCATGATGTAGCAGGATCTTGGGAATTTTAAAGTGAAAGAACAGTATGGAACACAGTAAATTACTGGAAACCTGGATCATGGTCAAGCATGACATAATTCAGCTCTTTGTGAGAGTTCAAAGACTGTGTCTGAAAAGGCACAACCCCCATGTATCTAGTGAACTCTCTAAGCAACAGAGAAAGTACAGTTTGTCCTCCAGATCCAGTAAGCAAAACTCACATCTTTCCAAAATGACCAGCTACGGATTGCTAGCATTTTGTGTTATTACCCAGAATGAAAAAAGCCATTGTCCATAGGAACAGTCTCCACAATCATTCATTATAACAGCGCTCAAGGCATGTGTACTTTTCACCCATCAAATTTAGAAAATGTGCAGCTTCCCCTCAACTTGCTGTGGAGTAAACAGTAAGTGTCTGTGAGACAAGATCCAGAGGCTTTGACTTGAAACCCATTTGGATAAAATGGAAAATGTGAAAAAATATTTTTTAAAGAAAGAAGGATTGGTCTAACTGCTCTCAAATAAATCAGCTCAGAGATGTTTACCAAACCTGTCAACTCATCTATCTGCTTCACATTTTGTTTTTCTCTCTCTACAGGAACCCACCCTGATACACTATAATTTAAGATAAACTGTTTCCCTTTGTAACAGATTGCTTGCACCCATCACTAAGGAGATTAATGGCTGAAAGGAGAGTAGAACTGAGTTTGAGAGAGCCCTTTTCTTAATCCAACAATTCCAAAATCTTTAAGAATCTGACAGAGCAGGGACAGTGCATTTTAATTCAACAGCTGTTCTGCGCTCATCAGTAGCTTGCATGGGAGTTTACAAAATAGAACCTTCCTGATAAACTGGAGGGAAGTCAGAGAAGATCAGCTAAAATGATCAGGGTGTTGTAGGAACTGAGATGTATGAGAACAAAACAAGTCTAGCTAATTCAGTCTTTAGGTTATGAATAGTCTCCTAAAGAAGTTGTGGAATTTCCCTCACTTGGAACTTCTAAAACTAGACTGAATGAAGCACTAGGAAAAGTGCTATAGGGGACAAACCTGGACTGGCCCCAGTGGAGATGGACTGGATGGTCTTTTCCATCTCCAGCATCTGGGGTTCTGGGAGTTTTAAATGAAACATGGGATGTTTAACTTTCATGTAGACAGCTCACCTGTGCCATCCACAAAAATAGCCATCAATGAATGAGGTTAAGAACTGCCTAAAAATGCCTGGGAGGTTAGGAACTAGCATGTGTGCCACCTCCATTCAGCAGCTCCTGGGCCAAACTCAGACCTAGCATATGTAGCTGCTACTCCAGTGAAGTCAATGGAATTGCAGTTGCTTGTGGCAAGTCTGAATTTCATCCATTGTCTCCAACCTTGACATTGGATGTAAGGAGATCCAATTGCCATCATCGGCTCGGCAATTTCACAGTATCTTTCAATTGGCCCTTTTTGGCAATCAGGTGACCATTCCAGATTATAGACAAAGTTTGCATGTTTTATTTTGTTTGGTGTCTTGGAAACGGACTCTTTCCCTCTCATTCCAAATCTGACATGAATCACATACAGAGGGAGATGATCATCTGATTTTCTTCTCCCTTCACAATCAATTTGATATGCATCCAGGAGAAGTTCAACCCATTATGGGAACAATGCTAACAAGGTCTCTTTAACAGGTTTACCATGCATCATTTCCAGTTCCCATCAGAACTCTGGATAAGACTGAACCCCACACAACTCAGCATAAACCCCATAAGCTAGAGATGGGCCTGAACCAAAATGCTGAATACAAACCCCTTTGAAATGTAGAGGGTGTTTGAAATCAAGTTCTGAATTTTCTGTGTGGTTCCCAGCATTAACATCCTCTGAATCTAAATCCTGGATGCCAACAGTCCTTAGCTTTGGGGTGCTGGGTGTTGTGGTTTAAAACCATCTCTATTGTAAATGGAAGCAATTCCTTAGTGTGTTTCATGTATAGATCCACAACCACTTTGCAAAGGTGGGTAAATATCCTTATTTTACAGATGAGGAAACTGAGGCAGAGAGAAGTTAAGAGACCTGCCCAAGCTCGCACAAGTCTGTGGAGCAGTTGGGGATAGAACCCTGACATCCCTCTCCAGTGGATCATGTTGCCTTTGCAAGGAATTACAAAGAATTTACAAGAAATGCAATTGACAAAACTAACTACAGAAAATAACACTCATTTAATAAATATCTTTGACAGCCCCAGGCCCAGAATTATTACAATAGTGCATGGTGTTAGCAAGTGTCCCTTGCTCAGTCAGCACATAGCCTAACTTGTCATTTGGACAAGTTTGCCCATTGTTAATTATGTTCTCTTCCTGAAATTACGATGCAGCTCAGCTCATCATGCTTTGTATACAGATGGAGGAGAGTGGTGTGGGCTGGTGGCTGATGCAAAGGGAGGGAATGAATGAAAAAGGACCTGGTTTCAAAGTCCATCTGAACCACTTACTCAGCTGTTTAACCTCGAGGCAAGTCATTTGACTTATTTATTCCCAAGTGAGCCTGGCTGCAAATCCCACTGAAAACTAGATGCTGTATCTGATTTGAGCCAACCTAAGATAATGGAAAAAGTTTACAAAGGAAATATAATTCTACAGATAATTTCTGTGCAATGGAATTCTCTCAACCAAGTTAATGTGGATTTATACCAGCGTAACTGAGAGCAGAATTTGGCCTGATGCTCTTACTGTAAACCCCAATCAATCTTCCCTTCCATTCCTTTCCTTGTGTGCCAAGCATCTTCATTCAAGCCCTCCTTCTTTGCAGCCTACTGGCACTAATCCAGGATTGGGCTCCAAGGGTATGTCAATACTGCAGCTGGAAGCAAGCTTCCCAGCCTGGGTGGACAGACAAGTGCTATCGCTGCTCTAGCTAGCATGCTAAAAATAGCAATGTGGACATTGAGGCAACGGGCATGCTCTAGCCATCCATGTAGGTACCCAGCTGAGTCAGTTGATCTCTGATATTTTGTATTAACAAATTTAGGCATTAATTCTTTTGGAGAAGGTGGAACTTTTTATTTGTATGTTCCCTTCTTTCCGGCATCCACCCCCTTTCTGAGATTGTGGTCAGGTTGTGAACATGGATGAAGTAAATCTTAGTGATTAAACTAACCAACTTAGGGCTTTCATTAAATAGGGGACAAGCAAAGTTACATCTTTCTGAATCTCTACACTACATTAATACTTGCATATGTCAAACTAAATCTACAGTTCTGTTGCTTGTTATACCTTAAAGACTGTTTTAGCTCAGTATTATCCCCCTGTAATTCTAGTCTTATGGATTTTTCTAAACTGGGATATTATCTGTGTGTTCCTCAGCGTAATTCACTGAAGTTTATTGCACTTAATGTTCCTGTAAATTGCTGAGAGAGCCTGTTAAATAACCATTATATCTTGGCTTTTGCATGCTCAAACCTGGTTCTTTTCCATTCTGGGTTAAGAGAAGTATGATGGATGCCTTTGTGTTGTTGCTATTGCCATAAAATTGGCCAGACCACAGAATACAGCTTCAAATAGCCTTGTTTATTAAAATAAAATAATAATAAAAAAAAAGACTTTCAGCTCACATACCAGCTCAGCCCTGGCCACCCTAGCATGACTGCTTGTCACTTAATCTCCTCTTGCTTCAAATATGCCCATAAGCAGCTGTGTGCTGAGTAAGAATGGAGCTATGGTTTTCTTAGTGAAATTACTTCTAACCAAATAGTGTTGCAAAAGCATCTTAGGCTGTCCAGCCCTCATTGATACTTTCTTATAAAAAATGCAACATAAATCTCCTCTTATGTATGTTTGTGTGAAGCACTGAAGACAGATGGAGCCATGAGTCACTGTACTCTTGGATTAATCCATAACAGTTACCTTCAAATCATTAACTCCTGCTGCAGGCCTGTGCATGTAAAAGCATCAGGATTGTATTGTACCTCACAGAGATATCTATTTATTCCCTTAGTCCTACTCAGAATAATGATCTCTTGTACAAGGATCAACCCTAACCTGGCGACTCCTGAGTTCTCTGAAAGTTTGGAACAGGATTAGTGTTTTGTGGTTTGGTCCATCTCCACTTATAGGCCACTTCTGCATACAATGCACAACTAATGAAGCAACACCTCTATGGCCTTGTGGATTAATGTTGTGTATATACACACTGTAGCACCATGGACTCACCCCTGCAGCACCTCCTGCTGGTCATCCTTGGGAATTAGCTCTTCAACCCAGGAGCGCCCTCTGTAGGCCGGTGATCCACTTGCCATTGCCCCCCCCCCGTCCATCCCAGAACCCTGCTGCCCTTGTGTTGGATACTGCCCCCCTGGCAGTACCCCACTTTCTCTGAGTTTCCCCACCCACTATCCCCACTTTGCCTCAGTTTTGGCTACTGCCCAGTCTCCATCTAGCCCCTGTTCACTGGGGCAGACTACAGTATCAGCCACTCATCATAAGCAAAGGGGTTTGGACTGGCTGCCTTTACCTACCATGGGTTGCTCCCTGCAACCCTACACCTACTAGGCCTTGCCAGGCCTGCAGCCTGGGGCTTTCCTAGGCCAGAGCTCCCAGCTCCTCTGGCCCTTCCCCAGCTCTGCTCCCAATCTAGGTGTCTGGTAACGCTCCCTGCAGCCAGGCCCTTCTCTCTCTGAACACAAAGAGAGACTGTCAGCTTGAGTGCCTGGCTCAAGCCTTTATAGGGCCAGCTGGGCCCTGATTGGGGCATGGCCCCAGGTGAGCCTGCTTCCTCCCAATCAGCCCAGGCATCTTGCCCATCCACAGCCCTGTTTTAAACCCCTCAGGGCAGGAGCGGGTAACCACCCCGCTACACACACGCACACAAACATATTCAAACCAACTGCAGGCCATAAGATTGGCTCATCTGCTGAATGGGCTTTGTGGGAATTGCTCTGAAGGTTAATTAATTTTATTTATACAGTTAAACTTTTTTCTCTACAAACAATGCTAACAAAACTAAGATCCTATTTTTAAAAAAATCATGTGATGAAGGTTATACAGCGAGATGCGCATGCCGAGACACAACGCAAGGAGATGCTGCCACTCCATGTTTGTGATTTTACAATCACACTTCTCTATTTTTTTTTATGTTTTTTTTCTCTCCTGTTGCCATGTGGAAGACCCACACAAAAAGGCGGGAAGCAGACTATAGTAAAACTAACTAAAAAGTGCTGTCAAAGTAAACAAACAGAAAAAAATAAGAGAAACATATCTTTTCCCTCCAATCTTTCAGTTACAGTCAACCTAGGTGTTACTTGTAATAATAAAAATAAAAAAAATCAGAGAACTGTGATTTTTTTTACACTTCCTTTAAAAAGGCACTGTAATAATAAAAATCATATTTGAAAAAATCATTCCCATTATTATTAATAACTATATAACATAATTTAAAGTATCTAATTTGAATCTCACATCGTTTTCACCATTTCTCTTTGGTTGCTTTTTGAATTTCACTTAGCTAGCACAGAATAGGGAAAGTAGTCTAGTGGAGTTTCACTTTCTGTATATAGTCAATTTCATTCTCCTGTTGTCATGCTTTGGCTCCCTAATGTTTGTGTTTGGGAATATTTACATCCCAAAGCAAAAACCCAAGACATTTCTCTTTGCTCCTCTAGGATTTTAAAAATCTTTTCTTATTAATGAAACCTAAATTGTAGACCCAAACTACTTGGCGATGTCTCCTTTTAAAAAGTGCATAGCTTTTGACGTTATTTTTTTAAACACAGTTTCTAAACTCTTGCTCAGAAATACCCATTTTATAGGTCCTTTTGCTGAAGGAAACAGAGGATGTTTAACTGAGATCTTTAAAAATCAATGTGCCTATTGAATTTTGAGGAAACAGAGACATAAATATCAGCTTGCTTGCTTGCTTGCTTTTTGAACTAGCTGTCAGCTAGGTCAAAGTGTAGTGGCAGATTTCCCTTTGGAAGACAGTGCCTGTTTCAAACGTCTCTTTAAGTCTTGCATGTTTGGAGACTTGGGCCGGATGAGGTGGAGCCCTCTCCGTTTTTCCCCATTGCAGCTCCCAATCATCCTGCCCACCTCCTGGCAAAGTTGCTGGAAGGCCTCGTGCACCCCCTCACAGTTCTCCCGGGCTGACACTTCGCAGTAAGTGCCACCCAGCTCATTGGCCAGTTGAAGCCCTTCTCTGGAGGACACCTGTCTGGCTCGCAGCAGGTCCCCTTTGTTGGCCATCAGAAGCAGGGGGATGTTGGCGTTGGGATGGATCTTGCGAATGTGCTGGTACAGGGGTCGGATAACCCGATAGCTATCGTAGTCCGTGATGGAGTAAACAAATACAAAACCATCCGCCCAGTAGATTGAACGGTTTATTTGCTCCTGGCAGCAAATACTGTCATTATCATCCTGCCATCAAAACCAAGAGATTAGAGATTAGAAAACAGACAGTAAGAAGCAAAAAAAGCTACTATCAGATAGGGCAGCAGCAAGTGATCATACAGCATTGGGAGCAGGCAATTGCTCCATTTCATCACATTGCTGTTACTTAATCTGACACGTATACAAAGCAAAAAGCATCTCTGACTGCTGTTGGATGTACCAGGTCTAGGATGAAATACCATGATATGTCAATGGAATATAAACAGGACCCAGCAGCACAGATACTGGAGTGGAGACCAGGCAGTTGTTCAGTGGTTAAAAAATGGTCAAAACATTGATGCTTTGTTCAAATGGATTTTGTATTTATTGAATCAGTATTCAGCACCCCTCTCCCCATTATCAGGGGTGATAAATGGAATCATCAAGGTTAGAGCCAGAAAGTTAGACCAAAAAAACCTGTTAGGTCATCTAGTCTAGCTCCACTTATCCAAGGGAAGGATTGTTCCCTACAGTACCTTCTTTAGTGCCTCTTTCGGTCCACTGTTTAATGTCTCCAAGGATGGGGTTTCTACCACTTCCCTGAGGAGACTTTTCCACTGTCTGATGGATCTTACCATCTGCAAGTTTCTCCGGATATTCAGATTAAAAGGTTTTTTTAGAAAAAATAATCTGCTGCAAGTGATTGTTCACTGGAGCTGAAAATAAATGGTGGCCTGAACACTGATTACTTTCTCCAGGAGGCAGTGGATTTCTGATTACTGTTAGCTGTCTTTTTGTCATGCCTGCACAGTCCAAGAGCGCCCATATCAGGTCTCATAACATCATTGCTCCTAATCAGGACAGGAATAACAATTACCAGAGAAACAATGCAAAGGAAGCTGATGTGTTACTTTTTGGCCTAAGTTGTGATCAGTTCATTTCTAAGTATGATTTTTTTTTAGCCTAATCGATTACTTTTAATATCCTTGCTGGGGTTTTATTCAATTAGACAGGGAGATTAGGCTTGCATGTTATTGTCTGGTGGGCTTGGTCTGATAAGAAACGTTTCTGCCAATATTATAGGCACTTTGAAACCAACATACAAGTCCTTGTAACTTCTTCCACTCTAAGTCAGATCCTACAAGATACTAAGCACCTTCAGTCACCACTAACGTCAGAGGGAATTAAAGTCTCCTGGAACCTTTGGAACCTAACCAGGGGATGTTCAGCATCTTGCAATGTCTGGCCCAACATCTTTTGCCAAATTAAATTCTGGGAGCCTTATCAAATTATTGAATGGCCCAATATGAATACATTTGTCCAGAATAAATTGGCATAAAAATAATCCATGAGTTAATTGGCTAAGTGAAAGCTGTAGGACAGACCCAAAACCGAATCACCCTAAATTAAAATTGAACTTCGGCAACCTCTCAGACCCTTCCCCGTTACTAAAACGTTGTTCTATTCATATGGTAATTCTGTTTCTCTTCTTCTCCAGCATGAAACATCGAGAAAAAGAATCAACAGTTTTTTTGACAGATATTTAACTTCAACAGCAAGAAAATAGGAGAAAAGGCCAAAATGTTAAACCCTGGCTGTCTAAAGTTAGGCTCCTAAATCCACATTCAAGCACTTAAATAAAAGTGGTCTGATTTTTCAAAGGTGCTGAGCACATGTAGCTCCCATTGGCTTCAGTGGAGTTTGTTGGTGCTCAGCACTCGCCCCAAATAGGTCACTTTATTTAGGCATCTAAATATGGATTTAGGAGCCTAACTTCAGGCACTTGGGATTGAAAATAATGGCCTAAATGTATTATGTAATAACTGATCAGACAGCAGGAGGAATACTGAAGGCAAAACTAAAAGAGCAATCTTTACTTTAGGGGGAGATTTCTCAAAGGTACAAATGGGAGTTGGGGCCCAACTTTCAATGGGAGTTGGGTACCTAATTGTCCTTTGAAAATCTTTTCTTTAGTTTAGACCACAGACATCGGAGGCAATGGCTCAAAAAATCTATTAACGCCTCATCTCTTCCATCTCACAGTGCCATGACACTAGATCCCGTGTTTGGATTTTTCTTATGAGTGGCACTGTGGGATGCCCTCAGCAGTAAGGCCATATCATTGGTACAGCAGCGCCCTAAGCCATTAAAGGGTTGAGATACCCATGGATCATCTTCACATAGAATGCATCTCTCAGGATATAAGAAGTGACTGCTGTTTATATGAAATGAGCTGCTGGGTCTCAATCCAGTTCCTGCTGAACAGGTGTCTAACCTCACAAACACCACAGTCACACTTAGAATGAATAGATATCTTCACTGGCAGTTCAAAAAAAGGTTAAGGTGAGTGAACTCTCTGGTGCCCCAGCTCAGCACATTGGTAGGGCTGTGTGTGGGGAGAGGGGAAGCTTGCACTGTTACTGTAACTGATCTGTATATAAGTAGCCCTCCTTTGTATCCCCTGACCCCTTTCACCAGCTAGCTCATTTTAGCAAGGAAAAGAACTAGTTGCTACAAACAAGGAGAAACAGATGCATCATGCAGAGAGCTTTCCTGAGCAGAAGTTCTCAGTTACAATTGTTGGGCCCAGCCTGCTGTAAGATAGATGTGATAATCCTCAGTGGAACGTTTTATTCACAAAAATAAACGACTAATGAGCTAGTTTGTTTACAGACATGTCTCCTTTCGAATTAAAAACTACACACAGTCACTGGCTATGGATATTTCAAGTAGAAATTAATCATCTAACAAACCCAGTTATCTATCTGCTTCTGGGTTTTTTTAAACATTAACATTTCCAATGTTAGAATTTTGAGTAACTCCACATGACTCTCTCCAGAAATCACTGCACACAGATCTCAGAGTGCAAGTGACTCATTGTTGCTCAAGGACCTACTCAGAAAACACATAAACACAACCTAGTCAAACATTCTTTTGATGGCTCAATTCAGAAATGAGCCCTTGAAATCACTTCAATTACACCATTTGGTGCGAAAACCGACCCAAGCTAAAAAGCTTTTGTGGGAATTATTGAAACAGTGCAGGGCTTTGACTGGGACAAAGGAAATGAAGCCTCCATAATTAAATTAGAAATAGTGCTGACTCCAAACCTCTGAGGGTAACACCCCTGAATGTTGCAGAGTTCAGCCCTGGTTCGAGAAATCAAAACTCGGGTCAGTGTCTAATCAAAATAGTGAAATTTGAAAAATGATTTTATATCTGTAGAGAAAGGAAGGGGAGTGGACCTCCTTCACTCTCCCAACACTCCTAGGATAGAATCAAAGGTGGATTCCCTTTATTATGTATTTATCATGCTTTCCTGGTGACAGTGCCTAATTTCTGTCAACAGGCTCTCTGGGTGATAGTCACACCTATGCAGAGAGCTAGCACCAGTTAATTCCCACTTAAGCATTATTTTCAGGGTGTAAGTGGCACATAAGCCATATGCTGGGCCTCTGCACAGAGGTGAATTTCATCCTCTGAAAATGATAGGGTTTTTAGTTAGGGCTTCAGACTACAACACAACTTTTTGATCATCGGCTATATTTTTATGAATAGATGGAAAGACTATACTTTGCAGTTGATGTCATTTTGTACTTTGTGTCCTTGATAGCAGAGCTTCTTTTACTAAATTTCAAACCCACTAAAATCATGGGTTCAACTGAACTCAAAACTTTGAAGTGTCAAGTTCTGTTTGGCTCTAGCCAAAATGTGAGATCTGGTCTTCTGCATGCATTTTTATTCTTGTTTTATTCCTCTGGAAGCCTTACAAGTAGGGTAAGAATTTCTTTCAAAATAGAATATTGTTTGCATAGCACAGACTTCTGCTTCATTAGAAAAACGTGTGGTTTTCAAATTAAATTTCCTTGGAAAAATAGTTGTTTATAGAAAGAGAATATTTTTTTTTATTTCTCCCCACAAAATCTGACCAAGTTTCCAAAACATTTTGTAAAGGGTTCTGGAGGTTTCCCTGCCTTCCTTTTGTCAGTGTGGATGATGGTAGCATTCAGAATGAATGATGACCAGGATGTATGTTTCTCCATCTCACCCACCCACATTCTAAAAAGGCATGGGACGTGATTGGGACTTTTCGCTTTTCACTTAAACCAATTGATAGTGATCAAAGAAAACTGAGATGGACACCTGGACTACATGAGATTTCCTGCCCAGCTCTGCAAACTCAGGATGGGATAACTCAGCCAGGACACAGAGAAGGATCTGTATTTTCAGGTGCTTATCTAAACTAAACAGGATCTTCAAACCTTTTGAGGTTTGACATGAGAGAGGATGAGGTTGATAAATGGTATTTGGATTCAGATGTATGCTAGGTTAAGTCTGGGTTTGGATTTGGTTTCAAGGAAAAACCAAACCTAGGATTTGGGTTCAGCATTGATGAAAATGCACTTAATTTTGGCCCTAAATCTTAGAAACTTCATGAAAACAGTTGATCTTGTGAGATTTCCACCATTCAAGGAGAAAAAAAATCACAAAATTTGGTGCTTTTGTGAAATTTCCACCATTTTGGTCTACTTCCAAACCAGCTCCAAAAAAATAGAGTCAGTATAGCACTGCTCTTATATGGAGAGGTCCCTAGCCATGACTTCTAATCAGAACACCCTGAAATCTGGTGGGGAGTTGGTGTGATGGGGCTTATCCACCTCATGCATCGGAGAAGTAAGGAGTGGTTTAATGCAGATACTAAGGCGGCCCCAGCTGGAGATTTCTACAGCTGCTATAAAGACTGTCCCTCAGAAGGAAGAGAGATTCGCTCTGGGAGAGGAGATCTGACCTGCGCAGCCAGATTGGCCTCTGGACAGTTCAGAGTTCCTTCTGCCCATCCAGGGACAGGAACTCCTGGCCAGCAATTAGATTAAGCAAGGACTTGGTTGAAGCAAGTTAACCCTGCAGTTTTATTCCTCAGCTTGGGCTGCACTAAGTCATTTCTTTTGGCCTTGACTTAACTGGAAAGGGGCCTGACTTAAAGGAGTAGGTGCAGCAGGGCAGAGGCCATCTGAGTTGGGATGTCCACATTTGGATTTGAGGTTCTGGCTCGGGCACATCTGCTAATGACAAGAGTTACTTATAGTGGAGACCAAAGAGCTGGCAATGAACAAAAGACACCCACTGTATTCTGAAGTATAAATGCATTGAGCAGACATTTTACCTCCAATGAGACAAAGGGTGTATCCTGCACCTGTAAGGAGATCTGCTCTCCGTCTATGGTGAATTTTCTTGAATACAAGGCACCTAATAGATAAGTAAGATAATTAGAGACCGTACATGTAACGGAGAAAAAAAAGTAAGTCCATTCAAAATCAGAATATTCCAGTTCTGAGTCCTGGGACTTATATGGTACCTAGGTCCCATGCTAGCCCTTTACACCGGGGTGAATTTTTGGTTGCCCAACTAACATAGTATTATATATGTTCCTTGATCGGGTGTTTCCACAACCCTGGGCTGTATCTAAATTCTTCATTTTTAAACTTTATTAAAAATTAAATTAAATACTTTATAAACTACTTTACCCATGGAACAATCAGGACAGATTATTTTATGTGACATGTTCAAAGAGCAACACAATATTTTCAAATCCGGAATCCATTTTCAATGGTTGCAATACTGGCCTACAATTTCTTCTGTGACTCACATTACTGAGGAATATCTGTTCTTCTGTCTGATAGATGACTCCTTCCTAATGGTCTGCTACCTCTTTTGGAATGAGAGAGGACAACCTGAATGAGATTTCTGTGCCCACTTAAAATAAGCCTTTGATTCCACATAGAGCAGCACCCTTCTATAATGCAGATTGGAAGTACTTGTAATCACAAGTGAATCAGGGAATTCTCTGTTAAAGGAGTGAGCTGTTTTCCATGGATTTCTACTGGAAGTGCACGAAAAGTATGCCAAATACATACAGTATTGTAAATGGAGCACACAACCATGCATTAAGACTAGAAAGTTTAGGTTATTATTATGGGTTTGCAGAATCTCATCAGTCAGACTATGGTTCTGAAACCCCCAAAGCAGGGATGGCATGTATCCGGGTTCCATTTTATCCAAATCAGTAAGGTTCAGCACATGAGGGCTGGATAAAAGTTCTAGGCTTGGGTTTGAACTATATTTGTTTTTGTATTGCAGGTCCAACAACATAAAGAAAGCTTAGGTTTGGGGTTTATGAAGTATCCATGGTTAACATAATGACAGCTTGGAGACTGATGTCCTCTTTGTTTAGCTATAAAACATAACACAAGTGACATGGTGTGACAGACCCTTTGTGGCCCCATGCTACTCCATGGTTCTACTACACTCAGCCCCAATAAAGGAGCAACAAAGGTGGTCCTCCAGGCCTGCCTAGAGAGGCTGCACAGAAGCAGCTAATCAGGAGCTGCCGGCCTTAACAGAGCAGTTCCTGGCTGGGACCAGAGGAGCAAGGCAGGGGACTCTTCTCTGGCCACAGGAGCTCAAGGAACAACCAGAGTGTGGTTCTGGCTGCATTTGCTTAAGATGGGAGAGAGAAAGGACCAGAGAACTTTAACCCTGCGGTCAGGGATGAAGATAAGGGGGGAAGGTGGGAAGAGGCTCAATGAAATAGCAGCAACGAATTGAAGTGAGTAGTACATGGCTGCTGTGCATAGGGTCCCAGGATCGGAACCTGGATTAGTGGGTTGGCCTGGGTTCCCAGGCCAAGTGATGTAAATCCTGAGTAGGGGACAAGTCTCATTGGGAAGTCCAAGTGAAGGGCTGAAGTAAAAGGGCCCAGAGCTGGACTGAAGACCCTAGCGAGGGCAAAGAGACTGTTTCATTTATTGGACTCTTTATTACCCTGGAAGGAGTTCATTTGGACTTTGTGACTTGGATGGAGGGCCAAGCCACTGACAACCTGCCAAGTGAGGCCGACAACCTATGGGACACCAGGAGCGGAAAAAGGACTGCAGTACCGCACACAGCAGCAGGAGGTACTCAAGAGGTGAGAGCCCCTGTTATACATGGCTAAACAGAGAACTACAGTCTCAATAGCTGTCAGTGTGGCACTGTTCATACTGTCCCAGTACAAGCTTCGCTGCTACTGCCTAGGCAATATGTTTCAACTTTGATCTGGAGGAATCTCCTCTAGGGGATAGCAGGGAGTTGACTCTTCATGGCCTATTCAGTCCTTGGCCTCAATTCAGACTACTGATGAACAAGCTAATTAGCGCCAACTATGATGCGTGTGAACCTTAGTTTAAAACAATATATCATCCCTGTGAGAAATGTCTCTAAAATTTGGTTCACAGAAGCAGGTGTCTTTGCTCCAATGGAAAAATATCTGAGCTCATAGAAACATTTAGAATATGAGGACATTCACTATGGGAAAGTTCACTGCATTTGAATCCAGCATTAAAATAGTACATTTAAAACCTGACTGCACTGCATGAATAACTCTTCTGTGAGCCCTATGAAAATGTATCAGATGTTAAGCTGGAAAAGATTGTGCTGTTTTATGGGGAGATACCTAACCCATGAATCAAGACCAGCAAATATACTATCCCTACTCTGTAATATATCACAGGAAAAAGTGCAGGTACTTCCAGATGCTGATAGTGTTCTGCCTTATATCCAGCTGCAGGAGAAACATGGTCATGTGATCAAAGATCTAGTAACACCTGTTTCTTATCTTTAGCATATTTGTTTCTGCTCCAGTATGGCTGTAGGGCTGGTAGCTTAATGGAAAAAAACATGCAGTTCTTAGCAATGTATCTGGCAGCAATCCATTGTGAAACTTAGAAATCTAGCTTGATTGACAGTGTCTTGCAGGAAAGATGGAGGAAAAGAAAGAGAAGCAGTACAGAGACTGAACTGTCAAGGTTTACTTAGGGTCAATGGAAGAGGGCACTCAGTAAAATCTTCCAGACCATCACTCACCAGACAGGCACAGTAGATCAAAGGCTTCTGGTTCTACCATCCCTATTTCTGACTCTTCCTTCTCAACTCAACATGTATCTCCCAAAGCAAAACAATTACAAAGTCACTGGTTTGAATCCTGCCAAGCTTGATCATTGACCCATAGCTGTTAGGTGGCCTACATGTGAGATGAGTTAGCTGGGTTTCAGTACGGTTCCTAGTACACAGGTATCCACTTTACAGACCCTGCCAATACAATGGGCGTCCTGGTTGGCAAAGAGGGTGTGGAGTAAATGGGTCACAGCATCATACCCTCTGAGACAGGGGGTGGCCAACCTGAGCCTGAGAAGGAGCCAGAATTTACCAATGTACATTTCCAAAGAGCCACAGTAATATGTCAGCAGCCCCCATATCAGCATCCCCCCTCCGTTCCCAGAGCCTCCCAGCCCTGCCGATCAGCACCTCCCCCTCCCTCCCTACACCTCCCCCCTTCGGGGGGCACGAAGCGGTGGAGTGGGGGCTGGGCCTGTGGCAGAGCCAGGGGTTGAGCAGTGAGCACGCCCTGGCACATTGGAAAGTTGACACCTGTAGCTCCAGCCCCGGAATCAGGGCCTATACAAGGAGCTGCATATTCACTTCTGAAGAGCCGCATAGGGCTCCGGAGCCACAGGTTGGCCACCCCTGCACTGATATGTTCCCTGTGGGTCAGGATTGGACAAAATAGCAGGGCAAAGTGGGGAAAGCTTCTGTTACCACTGTACCTGTCCTGGGTACAGAGGACTTCAATCTAGCATTCTACATCAGCACTAAAGTCACTGAAAAAAGCAAACACGTAGGACAAAATTCTGGGCTGACTCTTACGCTCTAGTGAAATCCCATTGACTTCACTGGGGTTGCACAGGCAGGGTAGCATTTGGCCTCTATTGTTCAGCTGATATATGAAACATTCCTTGATTCTGCATTTTACTGTAGGTATGTCCCCAAGCCAATCTTTCCCTCTGATCCTTTTCCATCAGGGTGGAAATAATACTGACTAAAAGGATCGTAAATAATGAGCCTTTGATTTATTGTTTTCATAACCTGAGGCAGTTAACTGGAAATATGCACCTTATGGACATCTAACTGCTTCACTTTCTTGTAATACACAGTGGCTGGAAATGGAATCTATCTATAATGCCGCACTAGGAAGTAGACTCACCAGTATTGGCCTCATAGTCTCCAATAAATCTTTTAGTGAGAAAGCGCACAACCAGGGCTGCAAAACAAGGAAAAAATATGGGCCTTTAATCTGAGTCAATATCAGCCTTTGCAGAATGCATGTAATGTCTTACTGGCTGACTTAGTGTAGTAAACATTGTTCACACATTACTCTGGGCATATGGCTCCATTTTTTTGCCCGTGTAGGAAATGATTTGGGGCCAGAGTATGATACCATCCCTCTGGGTTGCCAGCACCCTGTCCCATGAGTTGTCCCATTGATTTTAATGGGGCTACTCATGGAGTAATGTGAATGTCAATGAAGCTATGACAATCTGCCCTTTGGGCTTAAAATAATTTGATGAACTAAAACAAAGAAATTCTTACAGTACTATGATGGTTCACAGTGCCAAGTTTAAGTCCTGGTCTATGGATATCAGAGGTCAGGCTGGATGATCTAGTGGTCCCTTCTGGCCTCAAATCTGTGAATCTACTCATTTTATCCACTGGACAAACTGGACGTGCTGTGCAAGTGATCAATCTGCAGCAAGTGGGGACTTCTTGCTCATCTTAATTTCTGATGGTTTCAAAGATCCTAGGGCTAGAAAGCTTGGAAGACATTTTGGTGTCTCTTGATCTCTTTCGGAGAAGAACTGTGGTATTTTTTTTTACAGTAACAGCAACATTTCTATAGTGCCTTTCATCCCAAATCAGTTGGCAAAATTAATCAACTGACAAACAACGAAGGATCTGATTCTGCAAGCCCTATCTGCATGCAGCATTCCCACAGACTCCATTTTTAAAGATTATTACACCCACCACTGACAGGCAGCCCCATCTAGTCAGCTCTTTAACTATGCAGATATGCCACTATCTGCAATGAGCTACTTTACATTTCTATAAATGGTGACTGCTTAAATTTTACTAAGTGGAAGTGGGACCTCAGATATAGTAAAACAAAGTTTGTTCCTATTAAAATTTATTTATTTGTGAAATCACAGCCCACACATACAAAAACTAAACACTCAATTTCTCTCTCTTCCTTGCCCCCCACCCCAAATCATAGAAAAATATGTGGCAAATAATACTTTTTTCATCCATAGATCTCAAAGTGCTACACACTAGGAAGGCAAGTATCATTAGTCCCATTTTTCAGATGTGGAAACTGAGACACAGTGAAGTGACTTGTACAAGAACATACAGTAGGTCAGTGGTAACCCTGAGAATTGAATGCAGGGCTCTGGACACCTACCCAATGCCCTAACCACGTGACAATGCCACCTCACATTTGAACTACATATATCGGATGTTCTGATCCATCTCATAGAAAATTCCGAGCATTTTTAAAGCGGTAATTAAACATATACAAAGTTATGGTCTGGAGTATATACAGACTTGGATCAATTTGACCATAAAATGTAAATACAGTTACATTGTAAATACAATCAAAGCCCTGTGGACTTACCTGTCTTGCCAACGTTACTGCCACCAAGTACAACAAGCTTGATGATTTTGTTGGGCACACAGTCTAAGACAGGATTCTCGGGTATGGGAAGCAAGAGAAAGTTAGTAGAATACTGTGACATAGTATTCTGAGAGATGAGACGCATGCCAGAACTGAGATCTGATCAGCTCTACTGGGAGTAGGGGGAGAAAAAGGGGAAAATAACTTCTTTGCTTCTTTTCTAGGCTGTAAATCCTTGGATAGAGAAGTCCTCTCATTTCATTTAAGTAGCTTTTTAGGGAAGTATCAGAGCAACTGGCCTCTTCTTTCCGACGATTCTGCTCAGACAGCGACTTTGCAAAGCAGAGGGAAACTTTCTGATCAACTCCAGTGAAAACTGACTCCTGCATTCCTCGGCCAATCAGAAGTCAAAACGTGACATTCCACTAGACAGGGCATAAAGTGTGTGCCTCCTATGAACCATGCTTGCTCTGTTGCTTTATCTTTTCTTGCTGCCTGTTCTACGTGCTGTACCTTGGCTCTGAGCTGAAAACACATCCTCCTATTTTTTTTTAATCGTCATGATGCTTGTTTCAGCACGATATGGCCACCCTGAACTGTCCTGGTGAAACTGTAGTTAGAATAATTCTGTTCTGCCTATCTAAATTCCCTTTGTACTTTCAATTGGACCCAGTATTCTCTGCTGTCCATTCTGATCTGTTGTGTACAGGTAATGCACTTGGATCCCTTAAGAGAGCTTGAGCTGATGGACATTCCTCTGCATTATAATGAGGATTTAATCAAATGTAGATTGTATTTTGCAGCCTCTCAGGAAGCAATACCTTTGAGTGTTTGTAAGTTATTAGATGATACAAATAATGTCAATACTTTTCATTCTTATCGTTCAAGAACAGAATCATTTATTGATAGTTGCTTTTTTTTTTTTAATAGTTCCATTGGTCAACGGTGTAACAATGCAATGAGTCTGTACTTAGACGGTGTGGGTCTGCGTGTCAGCATTGTGCTAAGTCACAACTGTCCTTTTGGACATTTTAAAGTGAATTTGGTGCTGGTGATGGACTGTCAACCCTAGAGTCAAAAAAGGCCTACATGCATCCCTACTGTGCTGCTGTGCCCAGCCCAGGGAGTGATGGTGCGCCGCGGGCTCCAGTGTACATTAGGGCAGCCTTAACGTGTTCCATGGCTACAAAGGTCTGTGTGTGGGTGATGAGCCAGCCCAGATGTGGGAATACACTAGCCACTACCCTCTCCTGTCCCTGCAACACCTTTTGCACTGGGGCCTCCTGTAAGAGAAAAGAGTACAGAGCTGGCTATTCTGGGTCTGATCCCTATATGCAGGGAATTCAGGGTCTTGCAGCGTCTTTCAGTCAGAGCATGGCCCTGAGTTCCCCCTAGAGTAGGTTTTAAGATCCAAGAGTATGATGGTGACAGAAAACTAATGTAGCAGAATGGAAAATCTGGCCTCGGGTCTCCAGACTCCCAATCCTATTCTCAGTGCACTACAGCCAAGTTGTCAAAAGAGCTCCAGTTCCCATTTTCAAAAGAGCTCAGCATGCTGAGTGCATATTGGATGCTAAGCTCTTGAAATCTGGCCTTGGTTCACAGTGGTCTAGGGAAATAGGCACAGGAGTCAAGCGACTTAGGAAGCTTCAGTTTCTCCATTTGTAAAATGAGGCTGCTAATAAATACCCACTAAATAACACTCGTATCGAATTGCTATGTGAGGGCCAAGTATTATTGCTTTGTAAACTATTATAGTCACTTCCAGAGGTGGGAATAGAACCCAGGAGGATCAGCTGATTCCCAGTCCTGTGAATAAGCACCAGACCATGTAGCTTTTGGGGCATGGGGCCTCTCGCCACAGTTTCCAAATTTCTAAGAGTGAGAATCTGAAAGCAAGTTCTCAAACATCCAAATGATGAAAAATATGGCACAAGAAATTTCATTTAAAAATTGCTCCATTTTCGCAGAAGTTTAGTGGGAACAGGCCACATTTATTGGGGCGGGGGAGTGGAATTCTGATTGAATATATTGATCAAATAATAATTCAGTTCTAAATGTGTTACTAAGCCAAAGTCTGAATATATTAAAAAACTTGATTTGAGCAACTCTTGTGATCAGCCGGTAATGCTGTCCTCTTGTGCCTGTCTTTCATTGGAAAAAACTAATTAAAGGATGAAGGCACCTTTTGTTGTCATTAGCTATTGAAAGCATATGTAGATGAGTAATATACAAATAAGGCAACATATGCCAAACCACTAGGAGGCCAAAAGACTGTCACCACAGGGAAAAGGCCAAATAAGTTAGCAATGTGACAAGGGATGATGTATGTATGCAAAAATGCTGATAGAAGAACATATACCTATTTAGAAGTCCTAAAGGAAAGCACAACAACTGATTCCAGTACATAATAGCAGAAACATTGTGATGGTCTTGTGCTAGAAATGCCAGCTACTCTGACAAAAGTGTTTCTTGTTCCCCTTCTCCATTTATCCTGCTCTCTCATTTAGGCAAATTTCATGGAAGGTTATTTAAGATCAATATACAGCAAAACTGTCAAGATATATTTATATACTTAAAAACAAATTTGTCACCTGTGTTATTATACCTCAAACTATTCAGCTCAGAAACACAGAACTGTAAGAGACAAATCCTCTGTAGAGGAAAATTGGTGAAACAATTGAGAATCTGGCCCGTGGTTATTTTTCATCATTAATACATCATTTCACTCAGGTTGGCTCCTCAAACTAGACCAGTCAATTTCTGTTTCTAATCAGTTTTGCTTTCAGATTCTTATGCACTATCACAATACTCTTGAGTTTCTAACCATTGTAGTTTCCAAAACCATGCCTAACTCCCTCTCCAGAACTTTTTTGTTGAAATTTTAAAAAATATATCATGAAACATTTTTATTCTCAGTAAGTTTTGAAAACCCAACAACCTTCCCCAACTCATTTTTATAAAAATCTTAAATTTTAGAATCAAATTCTTGAAACAGTTCTTTTAAACTATGTAGTAAAAGCCTGAGGCTTCCTAATCTTCTCTTTATCCAATTTTATACATTGTCAAAATAGCATTTCGCTGAGTGAAACCATATTGAGGGAATCACACTATTTTTGGATTGTATAATTCAGAGTAAGAATTATTTTTCAAGAGGATCTTTATTATGTTTGTGTACATTGGGCTTACATTTCGCTAGGGTAATATGGTTTTAATTAAACTTTCCTTGGGAAAACAATGGCTTAAATTAAGGGGGGGAAATGTTTGCAAAACTCTAAGTATAGTAAAATCCAAAACTTTTTTCAAAAGTTCTAGATGTTTCACAAAACACCCTTACGGTGGTCCCATCCCAAATTCTATGTGTGCATATTGTGGGGAGATTGTGTTATTTATTTCTGCACCAACTTTCATAGATATGTATTTACTAGTCTATGTTGCTTTTGGCTATGGCTTTAAATATGTGTTTTTACTTCTTTTATTTGGCACTCACACACATTCAGGCAGGGAGCATCCTAAAAAACATATTTTGCATTTCTAGCATGTCTTCTATATGAGGATGACAATGTGCTTTTAAAACTTCAATTAACCCTTGCAGATTTTACAGTGGGAGAGACAGATGAACAGAGAGATGAAGCAATCTGCTCAAGGTAACACAAGTCAGTGGTCAGGCTTGGAGTCAGACCTGTCTCCTATTCTTGAGTTTCAACTACAAGACTATTCTGCCTTCCCTGAAAATGTATTGATAACAACTGTTAATTTAGATAATGTATATCCTCAGTTATAGCAAATGGTCTCGGTACTGGTACATTCAGATGAGCTATTTCTGGGAAAAGAAGCGAAATAAAAGAGAAAATATACTTGTAGTAGGCTTTAGCTGATACTGTGACAGGACTCGCTGCTGGCAGTTTGTGTATAACTCCTCTGACTCTGAATACATTTTAAACAACAATAGATTGCTCTTTATAGCTTTGTTTGACTTTCTTTGTTCTTTGTAGCAGACCTGCAGCCCAAAGGCCAGTTCTCACACCATGCAGAGGTTTTGCACTAAACAAAAGTGGCATTTTTGTGATCTTTCTGCTTATTGTATCTTAAAATTAGCATAAATGTGAAATGTACAAAAATATTCTTGCATTATATAAGAAAATGTAACAATAGAACAGTATCAAATACTGTGTATGTATGAAACAACCCTTCCATTGTCTGGTCAGCCTTTCACTTTGACTCATGGGAAATATATTTTTTGTTTTTGATTGGGGGGAGGGGTAAAAGTAGGGTGTATGACCTAGCAGTTACATCAGGAGATGCTCTTTCAGAGGACTGTCCTTTTTATTCCATGTTTTATCTAGTACGTGGGAGTTCTGATTCTGATGGACGTCTCCAGGTGCTACCATACTAAAAATAAATATTTGTAAGGATTTTGTTCTATTTTGATGTGGGAGAGAGGGAACCAATTAAAAAAAACTAGTTAAAGGTTCTGCTAATCTCATTATTTGTGGATTTCCTGTTCCTAGTTTAGTTGCTTCACTCTCTATGGGAACGTTTAAAATGGTACTTAGCCTTCTGTATGTCTGTATTTTTTTTTTGAAATAACTGAATGCTCTCCCGTGAGAGCAAGTACTAAATGACATGGAAAATGCAACGTGTATGAGGGAAAATAGCTGCAGGCAAAGAACCCAAACAGAGCTGAAGCCTGTGGGCCTCATAAAAAAGATTGTGCCTTGGAAGCTGAACTGTCCTCCTATCCATAGAGGTGTTTCCATAAGGTCAGAGTTGAGACACAGGTAAGGGGCAGTCTGTATTGTCACTTCCCATGCAGTACCTGTTCTGCAACTAGACACAGGGCTTCAGTCTTTGGTATTATTAACCAGCACCTTTCAACCGAACTACACATGTAGCTAATAAAAAGTTATCAGATTATTTCTAGGTTTGATAAACCATTCTACATAAAACTTAACTTTCCAGATAAACTCAGGCAACCTTTCTATTAATCTGTATATTTATGTATTTTTAAACAAAAATAAGAATTTGTTCCTGGTATGCAATGTGCCATCAGGCAAAGCTGCAATAGCATTCACTGATTTTTCCCATTGATGAACAATGACCATTGTGATCACTCGCAGAACTATGCACTAAAATAATCCATTTTGTGGTTCTGCTTAGATAGATAAACATGCTGCAGAAGGGCATAAAGTTACTTAATGCAAAACCACTGTCAGGCTTCTTTATCAAATCTATCTCTACAATCCAATTTGGTGGTGGTCTGGTCTCTTGTCCAGAATACAGAAAAAAAATCCTAATAAAGAAATTTCCATAAGGTCCTTCATGTCCCCTCTTAGTTTCATGATGAAAAATGTCCACCCCCTGAGGTGTGGATATGTACGCCTCTCCTTATAATTATGCATAGCTGTAAACTCACAGAGTCTCTCTCTACGTTTGTTCAATGCACAGCTCAATAGGTTGATCCTGAAGGGGGCCTCTGGGCACTCCCCCAGAACAATTAATAAATATTAACAACACTTCACTCTTCTTGAGTACCTTCTGCCCATGGATCTCAAAGTGCTTCACAAAGATTAATAATATCTCACATCACCATCTTGTGAGGTAGGTATTTTTTACAGATGGGGAAACTGAGGCACAGCAGGGCTAAGTGACTCAGGCCACTAAAGAGCTGTAGCGCGGGCACTTCCCATGTGGAAGGAAGCAACAGAGGGTCCTGTGGCACCTTAGAGACTAACAGAAGTATTGGGAGCATAAGCTTTCGTGGGTAAGAACCTCACTTCTTCAGATGCAAGAAGTAGAGGTTGCATCTGAAGAAGTGAGGTTCTTACCCACGA